CTTTATCGCAGCATGATTTATAATCCTTTGGGTATATACCCAGTAATGGGATGGCTGGGTCATATGGTACATCTAGTTCTAGATCCTTGAGGGATTGCCATACTGTTTTCCATAATGGTTGAACTAGTTTACAATCCCACCAACAGTGTAAAAGTGTTCCTATTTCTCCACATCCTCTCCAGCACCTGTTGTTTCCTGACTTTTTAATGATCGCCATTCTAACTGGTGTGAGATGGTATCTCATTGTGGTTTTGATTTGCATTTCTCTGATGGCCAGTGATGATGAGCATTTTTTCATGTGGCTGTTGGCTGTATGAATGTCTTCTTTTGAGAAATGTCTGTTCATATCCTTTGCCCACTTTTTGATGGGGCTGTTTGTTTTTTTCTTGTAATTTTGTTTGAGTTCTTTGTAGGTTCTGGATATTAGCCCTTTGTCAGATGAGTAGATTGCAAAAATGTAATTTCTTATAGTAAATTCTCTGTGTTAAAATATCTAGTGTGGTTTCTGTTTTTCTGTTTGTAGCCTGATGGACACAAATGCTCAATGACACCAACCATTAACATTATCCAACAAATTATCTCTCTCTTTCTCTCTCTGTTGCTCTCTCTCTCACATGCACACACACACGCACACAACCACCATGCTTAACACACACATCTCTGATTAGTATTTGTCTTCTCACATAGCTTTGCCGACCAAGAGAATTTGTTTTTCAGCAAACATCTGTAATACATGTAGCCAACGTGAGCGTTATATTTTTCATTATAAATGAATACATTAGGATGCTAGTTTTTGTACATGAGTCTCTGAAAGCCTTATTCCAGAAACAGATCCATTCCTGGGACACTGGCAATGAGTTTCCTGTACTTGAATAATGACTCTAAACATGTAATTCCACCAAAATTGTAACATCCTGACCAGCTGACCAACTTCCTCTCATGTTACTTCATTCCTGATTTTGCCCTGTACTGGTGGAAAGCGTGAACCCATTTTTCTTCAAATGGAAATACCTAATGTCTAGAGGCAATGTTCCCTTTCTGAACACACTCTGATTTTTTTAAAACTTATTCTTCAGTAGAATTTCTCTGGAGAGCATCTGAAAAAGCCCTTAACATGAAGACATAAACAACCAATACAGCTAAACTACCTCATCTCCAGGTGTATTTTAATTTTATTTGTATATTAATAAATCTCTAACTGGTTTAAATCAAAGAGACTAAGCCTTGATTTTAGAATCTCAGAATTCACTGTGCTTAGTACAGGGAGTATTTTTCATTGGGAAGAGGCAGGAGAGAGGTGGGTCACATTTCCACTGCTCTCGAAAATCATGCAAACAGTTGCCTCCTTTAGCTGCTCTTTAAGTTGGCACTGATACAAAGACACGTTCAGTTCAACACAGTTCTTGACTGTCCCTTGGCCAGATCATAACTGATCTCCTTTTGGCTTAGGCCACAGCAAAGCACCATGGGGGAGGCCATGGGGTACCTACACATCTTATAACGGCCTCCTTTGTAAAGCTAAACAAATATTTGCTTCTGCCTTGCAAAGTTGCTTCTGCCTTGCAAAGCTGAGTCACAGATCTGGCTTTTACACGTATATTCATATGCATCTGCACCTCTACTGCTCACACTACTGGCTGTGCCAACATCCTAACTGGGCTCTTGGGCCCAGGGCAGGCAGGATGCCATGACAGTCCCAGTGTATCCAGGAGCCCGATGTCCTCAGGTGTCCTTTGTGAACTTTCACAACCAGAGACAACTGTGCAGAACTGGGACTTCATCACCTAAATGGAGGTTGCCTGGGGCAGATTCTAGATGTTTTTAATATTCAACCCATAGGTAAAAAGTTATGCCCAACTGTTATTCACATTTTTGAAAACTAGACATAAGGAACATTCTGGAGCATATGTGAAATGATAACCAAGTAAGATTTAATAATAAACCAATGTTTAAAATGCATTTAATGAGAAATTACTGGAGGGAAGTAAAAGAAACCTATATTGAAAGACAAGGGACTCTTCTCTCTGGTCCAGTTTTCTACTTACTACCCATGAACTTGAGCAATTTACTAAACCTTTTCAGACTGCCATCTCTGCATGTGCAAGATCATACATGCATAGACTCCAGACTCCAGTGTTTTGTTGTTTTTAAAAGTTTTCATACATGTTCTCTGTATTTGTTTGCTAAGACTGACATAGCAAAATGCTACAAATGAGATGACTTAAATGGGGAAATTTATTGTGTCACGGTTTCGGAGTCTCAACGTCTGAGATCAAGGTGTTAGCAGTGTTGGTTCCTCCTAAGGGCTGTGAGAGAAAGATCTGTTCCATGCCTCTCACCTACTTTCTGGTGGTCTGCTGCAACTTTGGTATTCCTTGGCTTGTAAATGCATTACCCTCATCCCCGCTTTCAGTTTCACATGATGTTCTCCTGTGTGCATGTCTGCCTCTGTGTCTAAGTTTTCCCTTTTAATAAGGACACATTCATATTGGGTCAGAGCCCACCCCAATGACCTCATCTTAAGTTGATCACCTGTAAAGACCTATTCAAAAGTAAACTGAGGCACAATACAGTTTTAAAGAGTTTGAGCAAACAGCAATTCATGACTCAGGCATGAGTCTAAACCAGAAGAGGTTCAGGAGCTCTACCAAGGGAACACAAGGGGTGGGGAGGCTTTTACAGGACAAACACAGGTATAAAGCAAGTAAAATAGTTGATTGGTTACATGTTTTTAATATTCAACCCATAGGTAAAAAGTTATGCCCAATTGTTATTCACATTTTTGAAAACTAGACATAAGGAACATTCTGGAGCATATATGAAATGATAACCAAGTAAGATTTAACAGGCCTGGTCTCTGTTTTCATTTACTTTAACAATCCCTATTTTTAAATAGGTCATACTTACAGGTACTAGGGATTAAGACTTCAATTTCTTTTGGGGGGACATAACCCAACCCATAATACTTTCTGACCCCAATGCTTGAGGGCAGGCTCCCTGGCAGCTCTCAGACTGACCTCCTTCTCTCTGTCATTGACCCATTAGTGATTTCTTGGAAGATATCAGTAATGGGCCAATGGCAGAGAGAAGGAGAGATCCTTCTTTGCAGAATCCTTCTCTGTAGATCCTTCTCTACAGGAAGGCAGGAGAACTCACTCTGGAAAGACAGATGGAGCCCAATTCTTTCCAGCTGTATAACACAAGACAAGTCACTTTACCTCTGCAAGCTTCTGTTACCTCATCTATAAGATGGGATCATAGGTTTGCTGACAGAAGTCAGTGAGATAAAGCAAAGTAGTACTTGGCTAACACATGATAAGTGCTTAACAAATTATGGATATTATTATTTATTCCTTTTGAATCAAGGAGAGGATGGGTCAGTGATTCCTAACCCTGCATGCACCTTAGAATCATCTGAGGGAAGCTTTTAAAAACTGCCCAGGTCCCAATACAGATTCTGACTCAATTGGTCTGGGATGAAGTCCAGGCACTAATATTTTTAGAAGCTCCTTGGTTTAATATGCAGCCAGGGTTGAGAACCACTAGAATAGACGACAGGATTGAAAACACGAATGGAAAGTCTCAATGCAGTGGAAAGTCAGAGGCTGATTTGTAGTTACTTAGCAAGATGGCCCACGTCGTGGGGGATGCGTGATGATGAGAGCCAGAGACAACTCTTGGAAAACCTGTGAATTGGGTGACCTAGATTTCAGAGCCACTGCTTGCTTTGTGGTCTCCTTGTGACATTTTCTCTGGGCCTCCCTGATGAGGGAACATTCCCCCACTGAGACACTGCTCTGGGCTTTCCTTCCCACAGCAAAAGCCCATCCACTTGCTCACCCTCCAAACACAGGCACCATCCTCTCCCCAGCTCCAGCTCCAGGTCTGGGAAGAAAATCCTCAGTTACTAAGAATAACAGTTTGACGCACTTCCCTTCCCAGGGACATCTACCTTTTAACAGTGGACATGATAGGACTCAAGGAAGCCTCCAGTGAGGAAGGTTTAGATGCTCAAGGGTACACTTGTATCATGGAGATGGCTGAGTTTTTAATTCCCTACTAGGTGGGAACTGACTGCTCGGACCGAACATGACTTTCAAGGCCCCTGAACTGTGGCCTGGAGAGCTTTTAGTTCACAGAGTAACTCTCTCTCTCCGTCCCCAGCACCAAACCCTTTCCATGTATAAGTGTGGACTCTGGAAGCGGCTGTTCGGGTAGCTGCAGGAGGAGCCAGGCTAGCTTTTGACAGTTCTGGCCATTTCTAGAGATGGCTCTTGGTTCTCAGGCCCTTGGCTGAGCGATGGGGGCAGCTGTCAGCAGCTCTCTCTTCTCTCCCCTTTTCCCATCTGCTCTGACTCTTCATCAGCAGGCTGAGCTTCTCCAAGCCTCAGTTTCCCACAGTCCCGCATCGCCCCCTTCTCATCAGACGCTTGCCACCCATGCTCTTTACGGTCTTAGGTCTCCAGTTTTCACAAGAGAAGGCCAGTGACATTTTCTTAAGCCAGTGAATGAGTAATATATATAAAATCGTATATAAATAGAAGCAATTTTTGATGACAAGACTGTTTAAATTCTCTTAATTTATTATCCCGAAGCAATTAGGAATGTCCATTCGCTTTTTGGCTGAATTAATAAAAGTATAGCAACTAAAGCAAAGAACATGAGAATCCTCTTGCTCTGGGTATGCTGTGTTCGAAATAATGTGTTTGGTGCTTTCCACTTCTTCAATTTTATTATTTATTTATTTTTTAAGTAGAGACAGGGTCTTGCTAAGTTGCCCAGGCTGGCCTCACATTTCTGGGCTCAAGGGATCTTCCTGTCTTGGGCTTTCAAAGTGCTGGGATTATAGGCATGAGCCATTGTGCCTGGTGCCGTTTCTATTTTAAATCAGAATATGTCAAAAGAAAGAGGAGCCAGAGACAGCCTTCTCTTAACACAAAGCAGAGTGTTATATCTTCATCTGACAATAAGTGACTTGGTGAACTTTGATTTAATTTTGGCTTTTGGGAAGTCATGGGGAAAAGAAGTAAAGCTGAGGATAGCGAAATACCTTTGCTAAACCCAGAGGCACTGCACCTGAATCCTGCTCAGTGTTTTGTAGGCAACTAACTGCCTTCTGCCACTGCCTTCTGGAAGGGGAAATGAGTTATCTTAAGTGGGCCAAAGTGGGGAAATACTAACAGTACAACTAGAAAGCAAGAGCTGTCGTGAAAGCCCTGAATGGGTTCCCACTGCCATTTCAGACGAAACTGATGCAGTTAAGCCTGAATTTCCTGGCAAGCGCAACGGTAGGTTTTTCCAAAAGGCTTTTTAGACTGCAAATACACAGCCTTTCCATGTCTAATCACAAAAGCAAACCGCTGGACACATGCTCTCTGTTCCCAGCTGGTTGTGTATGTTTTCTTCACACTTCAACAGAAACGTGCCAAGGTGTGACATTTATGAATTTCGCCAACTGGGAACTGTGCACACAAATCGTTATAGCCTGTGGTGTGGGAAAATGATGAATGGGGGCTGTTCTGCCTGGGGAGGAGGGCTGCTGTCACTCTGGCATGCCTACAGCCTTATTTATTACACACCAAAGTATAAAACCACTCCGCCACTGCAGCTCTCAGCTCCAGTCCTGGCATCTGCCCGAGGAGACCACGCTCCTGGAGTCCTGCTGTCTTCTCAGGGAAGCTCTGAGGCTCTATTGAGAATCATGCTTTGGAGGCAGCTCGTCTATTGGCAATTGCTGGCTTTGTTTTTCCTCCCTCTTTGCCTGTGTCAAGATGAATACATGGAGGTGAGCGGAAGAACTAATAAAGTGGTGGCAAGAATAGTGCAAAGCCACCAGCAGACTGGCCGTAGCGGCTCCAGGAGGGAGAAAGTGAGAGAGCGGAGCCATCCTAAAACTGGGACTGTGGATAATAACACTTCTACAGACCTAAAATCCCTGAGACCAGATGAGCTACCGCACCCCGAGGTAGATGACCTAGCCCAGATCACCCCATTCTGGGGCCAGGTACTCAGAATTCTCTTCTAAGGATATCTGTGAAAGCTTAATGAGTTCTGTTGCTGCTGCTGTTGTTGTTGTTGTTCTTTTTTTTGGCTAAGATTCTTAGAATCAGTGAATGCTTCCGAGAAGTTCGCTAAGCTGCTTGTGAATCTCTTTCTGGATTGCTCTCCGGTACAAGAGAGACTGTCGGTCTCTGTTAGAAAATCAGCAGAGGCAGCAATGATGTGATGGGATAGTGGTCGTAGCATCACCCCATCAGAAAGGGGAACCCGGCCAGCCAGCTTCCTGCTATGCTGGGACTTGATTTCTTTCTTGCTCTGTTGGTCCGGAAAGGAGTGCTGACCCATGCAGATAGATGGGTCACTGTAGACAATCATTTGTTGTTCTTAAGAGAATTGGACTTTCTTAACCCCTTCCAGCAGGGAGAAGCTGCCCTTTGAGTTTGTCAAAAGCAATCAAAGTTTTTTTACTTTGATTTGTGAGTGTGCTGTCACATTTCATGGCAGTCTTGTTTATTTGATTAATAGCATTCTAGATTGTTAAGCTTCTCTGTTCAGCCTGTTTTAAAAAGAATTAAAGAGTTAAATAAAAAATAAACTGTTCGAAATGCAAACCTTATAGCATGATTTGATGCCTGATAATCACAGAGGACTTGATCTATTTCTCAGGTTATAAATTCAGCTCTAAGGAAATATCTTTAAATCTTGGTAGTACAAGAGTGAGTTAAGATTTCAGTAGAGTGAATTGCAAATTGGTGACACTCAGTGTAATTTAAAATATTAAGTACATGACGAGACATATTTTGAATTACCCTCTAGGCGTGTAGTGTGCTGAAAACTGATGGAGGGAGCAAGAAGAGTTACTTTGAGTTACATGATATTTGAACACATAGGTTTTTACTATAAGATTTGATTACTTTAATGCATTAAATAGGACCTGAAGAATTTCATGTAATTGAAATCTAAATCCTTCCTACCATAGATTCAGAAGTTTGGGTGGGTTGGTTGGTTATATGATCAGATCAAGATCATACACAGAATCAGTTGCAGATCTGAAACTAACCCAGAGCTTTTAACTTGACCACACAATGCAGTTGTCCAAACCATTCTGTGGGGGATGTATCCAGAGAAAATTGCTTCTTTAAGGAGCCATAGAAGAAGTGATAATCTCTAAATATGATCCTATCTTTTGAAAGCCACTTTTAGAGATTGTCTGTGCATCTGACAATCTTTTGGCTGAAGGGTAATGATTAACACTGATTTGCGTGTAGGTTTTTGTTTGTTTTTGTTTTGTGGTGAAGATATTTTCACTTCCGTCCAAGACTTGATCTGGACTTTCCATTTTACAGATGGTATCCTTCCTGACCATGGCAGTGTGATTCCCCCAGAGGAAGCAGAAGGAAGTTAAAGGTTGTCTTTGGTCATTATGTCCTGACAACCGACAGCCAGCAGGCCACTGAAATCCAAATCACATTTCTCCTTCACTCTAGCTTCTAGGTTCCTGAAGTATTTTCAAACAAACCACCAACAGGAGATATTGAGGATATTTAGAGTTACTGATATTCTGGAATTTTTCAATACAACTCCTCTACCAATGGCTGTGGAGACCACAGATTGAATTGAGGATTGTGCTACGTTCTTCCTTCTTTCCCTACTTCCCCTGTCCCTCTTCTTTGATCACAATTCACTTTTCCTCTTATTCATTCAGTTCCCAAGCATTTCTTGTGTTTCTACTTTGTACCAAACTTTAAAAGGGGGGGCCAGGGATATATAAAGATAAATTTGCCTGAGCTCCCATGTCCAAACAATCCTGAAGTGCTATAGTAGAGACAAATTTTTGTTAATTAAATTAAGTTTAATTAAATGCCATGTGTTAAATAAAGTCAGTACATAAAAGGCAGTTGGGCAAAAGTGTCAAAGTACTGATAGTCTTTGAGTTGGATCTCAAAAGATGAGATTAAAAGAATGACTATCCACAGCAGATTTTAAAAAAAAGTGCTGCAACAGAGACTGGAAAGCCTGTGAGGGGGTGGCTGTGGCTGAAGCTCCTGGGTTAGGGATGCAGGGGTGGGGACTGGTGGGGACGGGGTGTTACACAATGTTAGTGCCAAGGAAGATTCTGCTAGCTGGTTTAGGAGCTTAGATTTTGCTTTGCTAGCTAGGCTTTGTTTGTTCATAGCAGGACAGTGAGGTCATCAGATATATGGTCTGGAAAGATGCTCTGGCTGTGGGTTCATGGTGGAGTACAATGGCCAGAGATCTGGGGTGGGCAGACCTGGGCTCTCTTTTCCTGGTATTTTCTTCTCTGCAGCCTCTTTGTCATTCACCTTTATCAATCTCCCCTCCTTCTCCTGGATACCCATTTCTCCCTCTTCCCACTTCCCTTCCTCTTCTTTCTTTTCCCTTTTTTGGGGCAGGAGGTTTAAAAAAAGGAGCTATGACTCTCCTTCCTAGAAGTCACTTACTAGTAGTAGAGCTCCATTCTGCATCATTACCCCTAGGCCTCCATCTACAAAATTGATGGAGCGTGTCTTAGAGAGAAACTCTTTCTCCCATGCTGCAGATTTACAGGCCTTCTGCATACAAATTTGACCCGCTTTTGGGAAAGGGGATGATAAACTTAAGGAGATCATAAATAGCAACTACCTACATGTAATTTTCCCTTACCTAGGAGAAAACTTCTGAATTAACACATCCTGTCCAACTTGTTCTAAGAGCTCCAGCAAAAGGCTCACAAGCATTGTTTCATTCGACTGAACTTTGAAAGATAAGGCCAGAGGAAGGAACCTGTAATGCAATGTTGCTGAAGGGTTCTCATGAGGCGCCTGATTAGTAGCAACCAGAAGTCTCTCACTGTTCTGGTGGCAGCTCTGTGCAATTAAAGCGCCCTCAGATAGCCTGGTCTTGCACTTCCAATCCTAGTTGACTTTAGCATTGAGCAACCTCATCTCCTGCAGCTGAATTCTTGTGCCTAGATACTAGACTTTAAAAACAAAATGTTTCTAAATTATTATTTGAAGCTTTGGAAAATACTTTAGTATCTTTGCATTGTAGAGCTGGAAAAAAAATGCAAGACAATTGTAGGGAAAAAGTGGGAAATCTCCTGTTTCATCCTCTGAAGATTCTCTGAAAATGAACTGTCCAAAGGCAGATCAATAGGAGAAAAACACATACAGATTTACTTAATGTGCATAGCACATGGGAATCACATGGGGATGATTTCCCAATAGCCCAATGCAGTATGCATGCTTACACACCCTTCCATGTAGGGTAGCGGGAAGTTGGGGAATGTAGAAGTAAATTACAAAGTTCCTCTGAGCCCTGGGGGAGGTGTTGTTACCAGCAGTGAATCCATGTGGGTCTGCGGCAACGTCAATTCTTGGCTCCTCAATTTCATTGAGGGTCATAAGGCAGAAGGAGAGACCAAGGCAAGTTTTAGAGCAGGAATGAAAGTTTATTAAAAAGCTTTAGAGCAGGAACAACAGGAAGGCAGGTATACTTGGAAGAGGGCCAAATGGGCAACTTGAAAAACAAGTGCACGGTTTGACCTTTTGACTTGGGGTTTTTTACATTGGCATACTCATGGGGTCTTGCATTACTTCTGCCTTGATTCTTCCCTTGGGGTGGGTTGTCCATATGTGCAGTGGCCTGCCAGCACTTACTTGGGAGGTGAGCATGCACAGTGTGTTTACTGGAGTTGTAAGCATGCTCACTTGAGGTATTCTTCCCTTACTAGCCAAATGCTCCTAGGTGGTCATTTGCCACTTAAACTGCCATTTTGCCTCTTAGTGCACATGCTTGAGCCCACTTGCCCAACTCCTGAGATCTTATTGGGAAGCTGCTGATAACCAGTTTCAGGTTTTTTCTATCTTTACGAAGACTGCCTTTCCCTGGCACTGGCTGCAACCAATTATTATTTTAGAGACAGTTAAAAGCCACTTGATCATCACCTGATGATCACCTGACATTCCTGGTCAGGTAGAGCCCTCCCCTACCCTGCTCGTGTCTGAGTAGCTACCTACTGTAACAGTGTCAAGAAGGGAAGGGAGAGAAATTTACTGTGAACAGAGGTTGTCTTAAAGCTTCCCAGATTATGGCTTCTAGCTGCCCTCAGGAAATAGAAGAAAAGCCTGTCTGAGCCTTGTGATGACTCCCAGTATCTTTGCTTCTCCAGTGGTTGATCTTTCCTGGCTATTTGATGAGATTCCTAAGGAGGGGGTCGTAAGACAATTGCATTTCTTTTGGAAAGACACTTCCTTAGTCAAATAAAGAAATTCCAGACAGAGTCCCTCCCGGCACTTCTGGAAAGAGGATCAGAGAGACTGGGAGGCAGGGAAAGGTCAGAGAGAGACCTTGGATCTGAGGCTTCTTTCTTTCTTTTCTTTTCTTTTTTTTTAATAAGAGATTTGCCACAAGCCAGTTTTCCCTATGATAGCTCTTCCAACACCTCTTTATTAAAACACTAAAGGTCAGAAGGATCATGAGGCCCCTCTCTCATGATCTGCATTCATACTGAAAATCAAGGTCAAGTGAGCTTTTGTCCTGCTCCACAGAGCCTTCCATCCTCCCTGTGCTCACCTTATCTTCATGGCTTATTTCTGAAGCCTTCCATTTCCAAAGCACTCAACACGTTGAAGCACGTATTTTAAAGAGTCATTTTCTGTGCACCAACACCACCTCATCCAATCCTCCAATTTAATAGCCAAAAACAAAACAAACAAAAAAGATGTCTGGAGAACAGTGACTTCTCTAAGGTCACGCAGCACCATGATGGAAATTCTAGTTACATCCAGTGGGTGTTTCAACATTCCTAAGCATTTCAGAATTTCCATTCCATTCCTACATCAATGGTTCCACTTGAGGATTTTCCCTCCTTCTCCTCCCTTTTCCATCCTTAAAATTCATCATTGGCAGAGCCCTGGATTTTCTGAGGTTTAAAAGGCTGAATTTCACATTAGCAAAACCATAACAGGAAATATGGAATCCTTCCTTCTCAGATTACAATTTTGGATTAGAAAGTGGGGCGTGCCGTGGTGTCTTTGACTTTCCAAGTGTCCTGAAATCCCTCAGATAAAATCACTGAGATGAAATCCCTCACCTCAAACCAATGGCTTTAGTTGATTTTTTCTTCCCCTACCAATTTGACAGAAGGTTTTCATACTTTCTAGTTAGTTCTTGTCCAGGTTTCAGCCTGGTAGACTGAAGACAAGACTAGGAGTTAGCTCTAAGTTATAGCTCCTGATCAGCAAGACTTGGGTTCTGAGCTGTTGCAGGAGAATGCTTGTGCTACAGATACTGTTCAGTGTTTTCCCTGAATAGCTTTGTGGAAAATTTTAGGAAAAAGCAGTGAGAGAGTAAGAACAAAATCCAAGCCCATTTTTAGAAAGAAAAGAAAGTAAGGTCTAAATGTTTAACGGTGTGAAGTTTTGACCCAGTTTTCTGCTTAAATTTTTAGTGATAAATGCAACTTGAATTTTAAATTCTTTTTTCCTCCCTCTGTGTCTCCTTTTTCTTTCTCTTCTTCCCTGTCCTCCTTTTTCCCTCCTTTACTTCGTTTTTTTCATGAATCTCTTAGCAACAACATGCTGTTTTCAAAAGACCATTGAATTATAATTGATGTCTAAGAACATTTCCACGAGTATTTTGTATGACATAATTAAAAGGCAAGTTGCCAATTTAGATGAGAGTTCAAATTTCATAAGCAACTTTAACTTTTCTGCCAATCAACTTCCACTAAGTCTTTAGCTCTTAGACAGCATATATTTTAGAAATTTATCTTTGTGTAAATAAGCATTTCACTCGGCATCATACTTGAGCATATTTAGTACCCATTAAATGCTTATAAAATATTGGTTCAAAGAGTGGGATAATCATTTCACAGGTTTTTTGTTTTTGTTTTTGTTTTTTTGTTTTTTTTTTTTTTGTTTTGAGACTGAGTCTTGCTCTTGTCTCCCAGGCTAGAGTACAATGGTGCTGTCTCAGCTCACTGCAACCTCTGCCTCCTGGGTTCAAGTGATTCTCCTGCCTCAGCCTCCCAAGTAGCTGGGATTACAGGCATGCACCACCATGCCTGGCTAATTTTTGTATTTTTAGTAGAGATGGAGTTTCACCATGTTGGCCAGGCTAGTCTCCAACTCCCAACCTCAGGTGATCCACCTGCCTCGGCCTCCAAAAGTGCTGGGATTACAGGCGTGAGCCACCATGCCTGGCCTAATTATTTCACATTTTAAAGTGGAATGTGGGAAATAGAAATCATGTTAAATAGTTGATTTACTTACAAAATTAAAGTTGTTTCAAGATGTAGATAATTAATAAAAATGTATTGGACTTATGGCTAATAGCAATGTATTATATTCTTGAAGATTGTTGAGAGTAGATTTTAAGTGCTCTCTCTACAAAAACAGTATATGAGACAATGTATATGTTAATTAGCTCAATTTAGTATTTTACGCTGTGTACTTAGTTTACAACAACATGTTATACATGATAAATATACATGTAATTTCTAGTTGTCAGTTAAACAAATAAATAAATGTATTGGACTAAAGAATACTTTATTTCTTTCGTTTTCTAAGACAATTTAAGTGTGCTATGGCTGTTTGAAAAACTAGTGTTACTATTCAGAATTTCCAGGAAATCTTAGTCTAGCTCTTAACTTAGTATCATGGATATAGTAAGCATTTAAAAATCGTGTTTGAAGTGGATAATTCTTGTAATTTGAGGATCATCTACTCAATTTAGCTACATCTGGGGCTATGGCAGTTGGAAAAGAAAAAAGGCTTCCAAGTCCACTTCTGAAGGAGTTTCTTCCTTTGCTGTTACAGTAGCAACAGGAAGGCACTTTCCAGAAATAGGACCCAACTTCCCACTTCCTCCTTTTCAAAGAGCATCTTCCTCTATTGACTTTCTAGTTGCCTTTGACTTTCTAGTTGCCTTTTCCTTTGATCATCAACTGACCTTAGCTACTCCCTGACCCTTTGCCACTGATATCTCTGCCACATCCCATCTCTTCTGATCTTGCTGTGATTGATTGGAGTTAAGCTTGCCTAAGGGTCAAGGTCAGTGAAAATTTAGAAATCCTAATTGCTCATAAGTACCTTTTGTTCTGAAGCTTCTCTTTCTGTCTTTTTAGTCTCCACAAACCGGAGGACTACCCCCAGACTGCAGTAAGTGTTGTCATGGAGACTACAGCTTTCGAGGCTACCAAGGCCCCCCTGGGCCACCGGGCCCTCCTGGCATTCCAGGTAAGGATGAGCAAGACACGCTGTCACTCTAATTGCAGCCTGAGCTAAAGTAGGAGGAAAGGGCAAACCTAAATAATTTGGGATCACTTCGGTGTGATCCAAAGGATCCACTAGACTCATGGCATCCTGGAGTACCACGTTCATAGTCTGGGAGTCTCCTCACCAGCACTAAGTCTAAAACGATCAGGTCATAGTCTTCTTTCCAGTATATCTGCCACAGCGCACTTTATGAAGGGCAGAGTATAGCCGAAAGCTTACCGGTCTGGGCTACAGCCATCTCAATGCCAGTCACTGAGCTGTGCATCCTTCTGTGTGACTCTAGGTCCAGCTAAGTGCTTCTTCCTCCAGTCTCAGGGTCTCTCCATGTTCAGTCATCTCGTAGTTGACTCTCATGCCACTCTTGGCCTCATGGAAACATTTTTAGGCTCCAGTACCATGTAGTGGCATGGGGAAGGCTCTGGAGCTACATCAGACCCCACTAGGCCAACAGTTCAGCCATCTGTACCGTACCAGTGCCGCCAGGCACAGGGAAGTGCCGCGGGCCTGCTGGTACCTGGGTCAGTCCAGGAAAGGGTAGCCCAGGTCCCCTCAATTTGGGGCTCTCAAGCCTACCTTGGGTTTTATTGTCTTCATCCTCAGGTTAATCCCTAGGGTAGGACCTCATCTCAGGGTCTGGCCCAAGTCCACTGGCTCTTCTGTGACTTACTCTCATTGATGTTAATATTGATCAAATGTGGTTCAAATTTTTTTCTACTTTTGAGTAGCTTCTTGCACAAAAACAAATTTACAGCAAGAAAATCTTATGTTAAACTTTAAACTACATTTACTGGCTTGGGATCTATGTCATTGGCCATCAAGGACAGCAGCCAGCAGGTGCAATGATGTAGGGTAGGGACTATTTCGACCCTTGTAAAATCTTCTCAGGTCTTAACTCTTCTGAGGTTACACATAAGGCTGGCCTTGGTTAAATGTTTTCTAACCAGGAAATGGCTTTGTCACTGAACACATTAATTTGTAAACACAGTCAAAGTTCATGCATATGTTAATTAGCTCAATTTAGTATTGAGCATTTGGAAAGGTTGTAAGCCTGGTATGATAACCGACCAAGAGTAGCATGCAAAATAAACAGCAAAAAGCCTGACATTTAGCAAACATTAAAAATAAAGAAGAGGTGTAGAAATTGTCTCTTGGTGGCAAAGGGAAAAGTTAAAATTATTTTCCAACTCTTGCTTTCAAAATCATTGCTGTAATTTGTTTAATGAATGAGTTTACCTTTTCCTCAGTTGTAAAAGTGGTATGTGTTTTTTGTAGAAAACTTCAGAGACAGGAAAATACACAGAATGACATGAAAATTACTCATGTTCCACATTTAGAAAAGAATCTCCGTGAATATTTTTCTGTAACTTATTCTTGTCGTTTTTTCCCTATGGATATAATACATAAATACATCTTTTTCCAAACAAAGAGAGTATCATGTTATCTCTATTTACTCATCACTTTTTTTTTTTTTCCTGAAACAAGGTCTGGCTCTTTTGTCCAGGCTGGAGTGAAGTGGCATGATCCAGGCTCCCTGTAGCCTTGGCCTCTTATGCTTAAGAGGTCATCCTGCCTCAGCCTCCCAAATACCTGGGACTACAGGTGCGCACCACTACACCTGGCTAATTTTTTAATTTCTGTTTTTGTAAAGATGGGATCTCGCCATATAGCTCAAGCTTGTCTCAAACTCTCGGGCTCAAGTGATCCTCCCACCATGGCTTCCCAGAGTGTTGAGGTTACAGGTGTGAGCCACGGTACCTGGCCACTTATAACTTTAAAATCTAAAAATATCATGAATATCACTATATCATTAAATGTTTTTCTTCAGCCTTCTTTTTTATGACTATATAACATAGTTTCTAGAACACATCATGCCCTCCTAGTATTGGTGATTATATATGTGCTTTCCAGTCTTGGCTATTTTAAATGATAATATCATAATTAGAATTCTACACAATTTTTCCTCTAAGCCTTGCTTCAAAGGATGAACAGGCTTTGGAGCTTTAGGGTATCTAAGGCTTCTTTCAGAGCCTGGCGCCCTATTTAGATGATGATATCCGTTGGTTATAGTTGGGATTGTTTCGAATGGGCCCCTTTCATAAGTGAGTTTGGACAGTTTGTCTAGAAATGGATGGTAAGTATGAGCGACTGGGTTTTCTCATGTGATGATATCTGGTTGTTTAAGGAAACCATGGAAACAATGGCAACAATGGAGCCACCGGCCATGAAGGAGCCAAAGGTGAGAAGGGCGACAAAGGTGACCTGGGGCCTCGAGGGGAGCGGGGGCAGCATGGCCCCAAAGGAGAGAAGGGCTACCCAGGGATTCCACCAGAACTTCAGGTAAACCATCCTCGGTACATCTCCTGGTGGCTTTCCAACCTCCCTGACCACGAGGGGCCAGGAATCAGGATGTTCGAGTGCTTCCTCAAGTCTTCCCCAATCCTGAGTAAATCTGAGTCTCAGTTTGTTCTTCTACGTCACAGGATGTTTGCATAAGGCCCATGCTGTCCAAAAGGAGGACTTTGATATTATTCTTAGGGAGACATTTATGAAGAGTGAGATCTAAGACCCACATAGGACCAAATCCAAGGCAACCCTGAATATAAATTAATCTCCTGTTTTCTGAAATGAGATTTTTTTAAGAATGTAATAAGATGTAATAAGAGTTAGGGCCAACTCAAATATATAAACATTTAAAAATATAAATGGAATGGTGAAATGTCTGGTTATAATATTTTATTTATTAATGTTGTTATATTTACATATACTAATGCATACATAAATATCGATATATATGTTTTCTCTCAACTCAGATTTTGTGGTATAATTTGTATTTATTTATTTATTGAAACAGAGTCTTTCTCTGTTGCCCAGGCTGGAGTGCAGTGGCACGATCTCGGCACGCTGCAACCTCTGCCTCGTAGGTTTGAGCAATTCCCTGCCTCAGCCTCCCTAGTAGCTGGAATTACAGGCATGCATCACCACACCTGGCTAATTTTTGTATATCTAATAGAGACAGGTTTTTGCCATGTTGGCCAGGCTGGTCTCAAGTTCCTGGCCTGAAGTGATCTGCCTGCCTTGGCCTCCCAAAAAAGTTCTGGTATTACAGGCTTGAGCCACCACGCTTGACCTTGCGGTATAAATTTTACTTGAGTTTTTCTTGTCAGAATCTTCTTTATCAATGGAAGATTTCAGTTTTGAGTCATCCACTCAGTGTTCCAGACCAGATTACATTCATTTCAGCATAAAGTTTAAAAAATCAATTTATGAGGTTAAAAGTGTACATTTTATCCCAAGCTCAAGTACCCATCTATTCTTTATCTCTTTTTTAAATGACTGTTAAAGTTCTTATTGCCAACAACATCTTAAACTTGTAAATGTGAGGTTAGGTCACAAGAAAAATTACTAATTTTGGGTTATTTCTGGAAGGTGGAGGAGGGCTAATATTTTGAAATAGATCCCCTCCAGGGGACTGCTATCAGCATTGAAAACTAGCATTTTTAAAAAATTAAGTTTCTTTCTGGCTAGTGTCTTCCCAAAAAAAGTAACTTGTGGATAAAAATAAAGTAACTGCGATAAAATCCTGCAGCATGAGAGATTTTTGAAGAACTACACTATAAAACGATTCTTGCCTGAAAGATCAATTAGGGGGAAACTGTCTTTTGTTTGTGCGTGTATGGTGGTTGTTTGACCCTGTATAAGTTCCATCATTTTTCTGGGCTCTGGTTTTTCAAGTTTAAAATAACTTGAATAGTTAGTGTGTTACTCTCACTGCTTTTTGTGGGTTTTGCAACTTTTAAATGAATGCTATTTTTGTTTTGTTTTGTGTGTGTGTGCACAGGCTGGAGGGCAGTGGTGTGATCTTGGCTCAGTGCAGCCTCCACCAGGGTTCAAGCGATTCTCTTGCCTCAACCTCTGGAGTAGTTGGGATTACAGGTGCGCAACACCATGCCCGGCTAATTTTTTTGTATTTTTAGTAGAGACGGCATTTCGCTATGTTGGCCAGGCTGGTCTCGAACTCCTGGCCTCCAGCGATCCGCCTGCCTCAGCCTCCCAAAGTGCTGGAATTACAGGTGTGAGCCACCGTGCCTAGCCAAATACTGTTTAATAATTTCAGCAACCTGGGATCCATGTGCCAGTATAAATTTACAAACAAAAAGGCTAGAGATGCCACTCAGCCAGGTTAAGGTATTTAATAAGACAGAAGATACACATCTCAAAGCTAGACTCTCTAACGCAGAACCTATGAATGGTAAACCATGGAGAAGGGGCCCTAGAGTAGCCAGTTTGATAGAGAACATTCTGGGCAATTATTAAATTTGCCCCATCAGCTATTTTACCCTAAAATCACAGTACAATCATTTGGGTAGGCAGATTGTGAAGGAGGGAACTTCACATTCTTTGAAGGTCCCAGCAAGTTAAAGAATTTATTAATCTAACTTACACTCAGTTTCAATGACTCATTTGGATGAAGGATTGACTTTGACTTTCTTTTTTTTTTTAATTTTTCTGCACATAATGATACACTGCAGTGTAAAATGGGGATTATCTCTATACAGTAAGTGATCTCTAGGGTATATTTTTTTGTTTTGTTTTGTTTTTTGACTTTGACTTTCACAAGTCATTCTTCAATGTGAGTTTAAGCAGAACCTTTTCTTTTTTAAAAAAACTTTTATTTTAAACTCAGGGGTACATGTGCAGGTTTTTTACATAGGTAAACTTGTGTCATGGGGATTTATTGTACAGATTATTTTATCACCAGGTATTAAGACTAGTACCCATTGGTTATTTTTCCTGAACCTCTCCCTCCTCCCACCTTCCATCCTCCCACAGGCCCCAGTGTGTGTTGTTCCACTCTATATGTCCACGTATTCTTATCATTTATCTCCCACATATACATGAGAACATGCGGTGTTTGATTTTCTGTTCCTGCATTAGTTTGCTAAGGATAACGGCCTCCCACTCCATCCATGTTCCTGCAAGGGACACTCATTATTTTTCATGGCTGCATAGTATTCCATGGGTGTATATGTACCACATTTTCTTTATCCAGTCTATCATCAATGGGAGTTTATATTGATTCCATGTCTTTGCTATTGTCAATAGTGACAAAAGCTTTTCTTGACAGGTGGAATTGTCTCAAGGCTTTTAAAATTATTGTTAACATTTTGTATTTTGAACTTCAACCCTGTCTTTGGACATTAGTAGTATAGAGGTGGTAACAATAGTAGTAGTGGTGCCAGGAGGAGGAAGAGTAGTGCCCCATTCTCCACTTAAGGGATATAGAAATTTGAGGCTCAATTACTCAATGACTTGCCAAGTGACAGAATTAAGAGAGATGGGCCTTAATCTCATATCTTTGGGCCCAAGTAGACAGCTTTATTCCCAAACTCATAGAGCATCTTGGTTGCCAATATGAGCTGGTTTCTTAAGTTAATTCTCTTTGCTGATCTTTTACCGATTGAGCAGAGGCTTTCAAAGTCCCTTAAAAGATTACACATAAAGTATTTGTAACCATTCCCAGAAATGGGTGTTGACCATTAAATGACTTCTCAGATTCCCCTATCTCTAAACTTTGCAGTTCCAATATTACATTTTTTCATCCAAAATCATGCCGAAAAATTTTTGCTGTTCTAATATTAAAAAAGATTGTTAATTTTAGTAAACCATTTTTCTGTATTTTAGATAACCGCAAACACTCCTTTTTACCTTTTCAAGGTTATTCATGTAATATCTTTTCATCATTAAAAAAATTAGAAAACTTCTGGGCCAAAAATAATAAAACATGCCCAGAAATGATTACTATTAACATACAGTTACATAACTTTTCAGATTTATGTGTACTTATATACGTGTTACTTTTAAATATGATGGGAACATATATACATATTATTACTTTATTTCATGAATGACAATCTATCCTAAATGTCTGTTCATGTAAATAAGTAAAATTCTGTATTTTTAAAATTTGTATCTTTTTTTCTGAATATAAAATTAATACATGCTAACTTGAAAATTATAAGTGTAATGAAGAAAGGAAAACTTTCCCATGAAACTTCTACCAAGAAAGACCTGCTATTAATAATTTCAAGAATATTCTTGCAGATATTTTTCTGAATTTGCCCACACAATAACTCCATCTACACAGACACAGTTAATAAAGTCTGGTATCAGACAATAATGATCTTGTGTTGTCTACTTTTTGAGTAAACAGTGTATTGAAGATATTTTCTCATTTTATATAGATGCACATTTAGATCAGCATCAAGAATTCTCAAAGTGTATTCAAAGAATTAATTTCATTAGAAATTGATAGACTGGGCACCATGGCTCCCACCTATAATCCTAGCACTTTGGGAGGCCAGGGAATGTGGATCTCTTGAGCCTAGGAGTTTGAGACCAGCCTTGGCAACATAGTGAGAACTTGTCTATATAAAGAAAAACAATAAATTAATAGGTATCTCTTGGGGAAAAAATAATGCAGGGTTACCAAAATTAAAATGTTTGGCTATAGGGTTTCTCACATCCTTGAATTTGCTGATGTGCATTTCACGGCTGTAAGTGGAAAATTTCATCTAAATTTTTCTGGCATTATTTGATAACAGAATTTTAATATTTCAAAAATCATTTGAAAGACAAATAATCTTTGAAACCTATGTTCAGACATTGTCAGTCTAACGGCTGCATAGCATTCAAGTGTTAGGAATTACCATAATTTATTTATTTCTTTCTCCATAGATTGATGTTTATTCCCAATCTTGCTGTTATGTATAATGTTTAACACACTAATCTGCATAAAAACTTGACTTCTTTAAGATAAATTGCCTATTTGTTGACCAATAATTCTTTCCTAGATTGCATTCATGGCTTCTCTGGCAACACACTTCAGCAATCAGAACAGTGGGATTATCTTCAGCAGTGTTGAGACCAACATTGGAAACTTCTTTGATGTCATGACTGGTAGATTTGGGGCCCCAGTATCAGGTGAGATGGAAACATTGGATAAAGATTGAGTTAATCAATGTAATAATAAAGACAAGGAAGGAAGGAAAGAAGAGAGGGAGGGATGGAGAAAGGGAGGGAGGAAAAGAAGGAGGAAGGGAGTATGAAATAAAAGAAGACATTAAGGTAGTTATTTTTTTCTGATTCAAGTTAAACCAAACAGCTCATATAGATTTCTATTGGATTTCAAAGTAAATGAATTAGAATCTGAAAACACAAAAATAGTTTTTAAAATATGGCCACAGTCATTAATATTATTAACTCTGATCTAGACTGAGCTAAATAATTCTTAAGAGGACATAGTTACCTCAGACTTTAAAAGTCCTTAAAACATAATTCTCAGTTTAAATGTGTCATAACTGTTTCCTCCCCTTGCCACCACCTCAAGGAGTGCCTGATCCTATTTTTTTAATTAAAAGAAATTGAGCAGGTAATACATTTACTTATTTAAAAAGTTAAAAGAGTTTGTTTACGCAAATGAATACAAATATATCTTCTCACATTTCTGTATAAAAGCTAGGACAGTCTACATTCTGATTGTGTTTTACTTTTTTAAAAAACTAACAAGATATTTTAGAAACCTTTTCACATCATTACTTTATCTTCTCTCTTATAGCTGGATGTACCAACGTATATTTAATGATTCCCTTATTGCTGGACATTTGGGTTGTTTCCAGTTTGGTTTTTTTTGGTGGTGGTGGTGGATTTTTTTTTTTTTCTAGGCAGGGTCTCACTCTGTTGTCCAGCCTGGAGTACAGTGGTGCCATCTCGGCCCACTGCAACCTCTGCCACCTTTGCCTACCAAGCTTAAGCGATCCTCCCCACTTAGCCTCCCGAGTAGCTGGAACTACAGACCCAGGCCACCATACCTGGCTAATTTTTGTAGTTTTAGTAGAGACTACCATGTTTTACCATGTTGGCCAGGCTGGTCTGAAATTCCTGGCCTGAAGTGATCCGCCTGCCTCAGCCTCCCAAAGTGCTGGAATTACAGGTGTGAGCCACCATGCCGGCAAGAATATACCACTTTGTAATTGATCACTTACAGGTGCATCTGTAGGCTAAAGTTTCAGGAATGTTATCAGTATAAACATATCCATAATTTTTATCAATTTTACCAAATTGCTCCCTGTAAGTGTTGTACCAATATACTTAAATTGTTAAGATATGAAAGCGCTTATTTCCTGATAGCCTTATCAACAAAATGTGCTTTCAAGTTTCTGGACAGTCAATAAATAGAAAATCCCATTTTACAAACATTTTACTTTGAATTAATTTTAGACTTATAGGAGAGAGTTATAAAAATATTATACAAAGTTATCATATTTTCTTTAGCCATCTTCCCCTACTATTAACGTTTTAAATAACCAAAGTGCAATTATTAAAATAAAGAAATGAATCTAGGTACAATACTATGACTAAATTATGGACTTTATTCAGATCTCACCAGGTTTTTCTGATGCCCCCAACTTTTAATTCCTTTTATTGTCTGGCCATTTCTACCATGGGTTCGCACCTTTTGTTCTATAATGTTCTTTCATAGAGGTATTTGCTTTATTAGTATAAATTCATGGCTACATTTTTCATCCACTACATGACAACATTTTTTCTTGGAGAGTATAGTTAATACATTAGGGTCATTTTTGCTTTTCTTTTCTACTTAAAAAAATTAAGTGATGATTGAATGAGTTGGATTTTCCTAGACCAGCTATATGCTCTAGTTTCTTGGTGAAGAAAGGACCAGGGCAGTTTCTAGACTAGATAACTCAAAGGCTCCCTCCCTTGCTGCCAGGGGACTAACGGATTCTTTTAAGTACAGCCCTGATGTGTGTTTTCCTTGGTCACACTTCCACTGCCTCTCCAGACTGCACTGGGTCCATGAAAGCTTCTGAAGCCAGTCTTATGCTTCCTGGTTCCCTTGCCTTCAGGAGTCCTTTTTTTTCCTTTCTTTCTTTTCTCTTTCTTTTTTTTTTCCTTATTTTATTTTATTTTATTTATTTATTTATTTTTTGCTGGCAAATTTTGAGATTGGCCACTCACTGCAGATCCTCTTTCCACATCCTACACTGTATCTAGCAACCATCACCCCAAACGCAGCCTTTGCTTCCGCTTGGCCCTGTTCACAGCGGCTTGTTTTCAGCATTGCACTTCCACATGGCCCTCACTATAAGAGAGTGCATTTCTCCTGGCACTGTGTGACACCTGCTGTCACCTGGCCTCCTCAGAGCCCAGCCCAAACTTGTGTTATCTCCAAGTGACTCTGTCCACCCTCAGGGGCATTTGGCAGCACTTACAGGTATTTTTGAAGTTCATTGATTTTCTTCCAGTCTCTTAGTGTTGCAGAATGTGGATACTTATTTGATTTTTGTTTTCCATTTCTTTTCATTTCTCTATATGGTATCCAGAATTAAAAGGAAGAAACTTCTGATGGAGGCAGTGGCCCTGTCAGATGTTCACAAATGCTTTTAATGGCACCTTGATTTATTTCTCTTCTCAACTTAAGTCAGAAATGAACTGAGATATGAGATGATAGAAGCAATCTTTCATTATACCTTAATGTCATGAAAATCATCTTTAAATGTTCTTATGTGATTTTCTGCTCTGAAGGTTTACGTGGTAATTTTCTTATAACTATTCCGTTAAATGCTATCTGTGCCACAGATTATATTAGTGACTAGAAATACCTAGTCCACATTTCCATGGAATTAAGTGGCTTTATAATTGAAGCCTAAGTAAGAATTTAGTTTTTTAGAGCTCTCTTGCCAGACGTTCAGCTTCTAGCGATACCACTGTCATTTGACCCTCACAGTTTTCTGTTTCAGTCTCCATTTTTGCAATAGATTGCAAAAAGACCATTTTATCCTTTCCAGCTTTGGGAGTGAAGAGACAGAGAAGGCTGGTTTTTGAAATTACAGCAACACAAAGACCACCAAACTGTAGTGCAAGTGTGTCTCCTCTGGTTTCAGTAGCTTCCCTTGCAGGAAAGTCACATGTGGGTATAATACATACTAACTTCGGTATTTCCAACTCCAGGCATTTCATTTATTCACCATCTGGTGTTTTAGTCTACTCTTTCTAACATGTTTTTGCAATCTATTTTTAACAGTTGTCATGATTTTGTAAGAAAAACTAATAAATTTTCCTGTCATTTTGATTTCAGCTTTATCTTCTTGAGGTATTGAAAATTATGTATGTGTATGTGTCTAATATGAAATTTTATAAAACGTGAAAAACTAAACACATATAAACTATTTTCCTTGAGGCTTTTAATTTTTATCTGCCTTTACTTTTCATCTGTGGGCCAATCTCTAGGCATATGAATAGGCATGATAAACTTTTAGGCCATTCCCTTTGTTCCCAGAACATTGAGTATGCGTTCTCGGCACTAGACAAAGCACCATCATACTTCTTCATTTAATCTGACTTAGAATCAGGTGAATTGACACGGCACCCTTACAACTTTCATCTTACTTGATTGCACCTTTGAGAAAGAAATAGAACTATCTTTTATTAAAGCTATTTCTGGGTTACTGTCTTGAAAGGCCATTTGTTTAAAATGTAACATGGAAATCAGTAAGAGCTTGATGACTTATGTTCATTCACCTTTCCAAAATGCACACCAAAATCCCAGATCATTTAGAGTTTGAAAAATTTTCCTTTTGTTTTTTCTGTGTGCTATTGGATTCTTCTTAATCATTCAGTAAAAGTATCCTGTGTGCTGGCATTTAGAGTATATTAGGTCATATTATATTGCTTTCAATTAGGAGCCCTAGGCTCTTATTAAATAACTCAAATCTTCAAAAATATATGTTGGTCTTTTTCAAATGAAGAGGATACAGACTTTTAGTGACAAGGTCCTGTCACTGAGTCTAAGTTGGGTCTTTCTGTTTATTGTATATAATTTCACCAACATACAAGGAATAGCATAAGAAATTACCAGAACCATATCTTTATAACTCATAAACATTTATTCTGTGCTCCAGGATTTCCTTATCTTTGGCTAACCCCTTTGGTGAGTATAATCGTCTGTTGTATTGTTATAGTTGCTCATTTTCTTAAGCTACGGAGCATCGTTGTTCAACCACAAACCTCTCTGTACCTTGGTAACACGAGTTCTGTGGTAGATGCGGATGATAGCTAACCTATGCCCAGGAACAACACCTACCTTGCCCTAAGCACTTTGTCAGGGCACAAGGTGGTGAGATACAGCTAAAATGAGGTAGGCCTCTTCCCTTAAAGACTTTCAAGTCTTATTCGGGATACACAGTGTACACATTGAGAAAGTCTCAAAACACTTGAAAGCACTTGGAAGGGGAGTAGGTAAAGGGACATTCCTGCAGATCAAGGCCAAGGAGAAACACCATACTACAAAGAATATCAATAAAAGACATGCGAAGGCATTTGGCAAATCTCCAGGTATCTCCAGGTCCTCAGTGTATAATATGTTAATATCAACATGGATAAATACCTGCTTTTTTCAGGTGTGTATTTCTTCACCTTCAGCATGATGAAGCATGAAGATGTTGAGGAAGTGTATGTGTACCTTATGCACAATGGCAATACAGTCTTCAGCATGTATAGGTGAGTGGTCTTTTCTATCACGGGTCTCATCCATGCTGCCATTGTTTGTTCAAGGAACACCTAATGACAGGGAAGTGTATAGGAGTCAATAGAGCCTGACATGGCCCTGTCCTCAATACGAGCCCTCATGCACCAATGTGGCCACATTATCACCATTATTGTTTGGGAAGAAATAAATCTGATGAACTTGAGCATCAGCAGGTTGATAAGAGGCCTTGCATTTATTACTAGCAGCACTCCCCATAACCAATCATTTGGATTATTTTTATAAATCATTATTTTTCTCCTCTCTCTCTGCCCCTTTTTCTGCTTTCCCATTCTCCCACACCTTCTGATGTTAGCTTGGAATGTGGCAGAGAGGCAGAGAGCCAACACCTTTCTTACAATTAAATGGGCCATGAGTTATCTATGAAATATTTTGTGGCTGTTAGCATTTCTCTGTTATTTTTGATGATGTGTGATAATTGCTGTGTTTACTTCTGGAGCCTAACCTGAGTGAAATGCCAAAAGACAGAAAGATGAGTCAGGGTAGGTGAAATTGTTACAACTAAGAGATCCAGTAGCTCTAACACACTAGAAGTTAATTTTTCTTGACCAGTCCAGGGAAGACTTTCAGGTTGGGAAAGAATGAGGAGTTGTAGGAGGGGTGCAGGTTGGAAATGGGTTTATTCTTCCTGTTTTTTGAGGAAGCCAGGCTGATGAAAGCAGCTCTGCTATCTATAAAACTGACTTTGAGCCGGGTGCAGTGGCTCACACTGTAATCCCAGCACTTTGGGGGGCCAAGGCAGGCAGATCACAAGGTCAGGAGATCGAGACCATCCTGGCTAACACGGTGAAACCCTGTCTCTACTTAAAAAAAAAAAAAATACCAAAAATTCACCGGGCGTGGTGGCGGGCGCCTGTAGTCCCAGCTACACGGGAGGCTGAGGCAGGAGAATGGCATGAACCCAGGAGGCGGAGCTTGCAGTGAGCCGAGATGGCACCACTGCACTCCAGCCTGGGCAACAGAGCGAGACTCCATCTCAAAAACAATTACAACAACAAAAAACAACAAACAACAACAAAAAAAACTGACTTTGAAATTCTCTCTGGTCATTGTCATTGCCAGAGCCAGAAGGAAAAAAGGTTCCTGTTGCAAGCTTGTGGAAATGTTTATGAATCAGGAATTCTGTTCAGAGAACTTAGTCACATTGTTTTCCACCCAACAAATGCAAGGGTGACATGGAATTGTAGGGCCAATGGAAGAAAGGAAAGGGGATTCTGGTGAACAGCTAGCCTTCTCTGCCCTCTGGCTTCCAAATATCTGCTGAACTCTTCTTCCTACACTTAGAATACATGTCTCCCCATCGCTCTGACCCTATGAGAGACAGCCTGTAAAGCACAAATAATGCATCCAGCTCAAAGCCCTGAGTTAGTCAATGAGCAGTACTTTTCATCAAATTGGTTTGTTGGCTATTTTTCTCTTTGGCTCCTGCTTCTGTCCTCTAGGAGGGTCTTCTCTGTCTGCTTTTCTCTGTAGCGCATCTGAAAGGTGAGCAAGCCCTCCTCAGGGCTCTCTCACAGCCCACTTCCTGCTGGTGCGAATTTGAAGGCTGAGTCAAACATCCCAAGCCTCTTGAGTCCAGTTTTGGGTCTCTGGTAAACCCATTTCCTCAGAAACTTACTTAGCAGGCTTTTACTCTATTTTTTACTCTATTTACTCTATTTACTTAGCTGGCTTTTACTTTGTTTGTTAAAGAGATTAAGTCAAGTCAGTTACATGTGTTACTAAACCACACTCCATGTACTTTTCTTGACAGTTTTCAGCCTGCTATTCCTTGTCTTCATGGCTTTCTCTCAATTTAATGGAATTACCCTGAGGCCTTCTAAAGCAATAGATTTGGGTAGAAAGGCAATATTTTTAATCCATCAGATTGTGCCACAGCTGTGTCTATTTGACTGAATGAGTAGTCTTTTAGTTTTCTTCTTTTTAATTTTACTTTAAGTTCCGGGATACGTGTGCAGAATGTGCAGATTTGTTACATAGGTATATATGTGCCATGGTGATTTGCTGCACCTATGAACTCATCATCTAGGTTTTAAACCCTGCATGCATTAGGTATTTCTCCTAATGCTCTCTCTCCCCTTTGCTCTCCCTCCCCTTTCCCCCGACCCCGCCACAGGCCCTGGTGTGTGATGTTCCTCTCCCTGTGTCCATGTGTTCTCATTATTCAACTCCCACTTATGAGTGAGAATATGCAGTGTTTGGTTTTCTGTTCCTGTGTGTGTGAGTTTGCTGAGAATGATGACTTCCAGCTTCATGCATGTCCCTACAAAGGACATGAACTCATTCTTTTTCATGGCTGCTAAATGAGCAGTCTTAAGGAGAAAACATCAACTTTATCACTGCTCTTCCAGGTATAAAAACACCCGGCTTTTTTAACCTTGTTAGGCCCCAACCATATAGACACTACTTTCTTCTTCTTCTTCAAACAAGTTAGTTTTTGCCTAAGCTCATCTTCTGTAGCAACATCTTTCTAAAAGCAGCAGAGTATTTTGGCTTTTTCCAGTCACTTCCCTTTCTTAGCCTACAGGCGTTAGATCTTCCAAGTTAACATGTTTTCCCAAATGTTTTTGCACAGTGTAACATGGATCTTCTGCTTTCCCAGACCATGATATTTGTTTCCCCATTGCTCCTTGCCTGACCATGAGCCAGTGCAAGCCTATTTTTGTTTGCATTATGGAGCAGTCTCCTTTTGTACCAAATTCTAGCTAGTTAGGGGAAGCTAAATTGCTGTAACAAAAACCCAGTGGAATAGCTCAAACATATTATAACTTTCTTTCCTTCTCATGAAACAGTCCAGGGTTGTTCTGGGTTGGAGCAGGGAAGAGAGAGAGCTGTTTTCCACACAGTCTCCAAGAACCCAGTACTCAACATATGGCTTCCAAGATCACTCTGGTCATTGTCATGAACATTCCAGACAGTCATAAGAAGGATCAGGGAGGGGTTTTGTGAGAGTGTTACTCACCAGCCTTAGGTCATTTCTGCTCACAGGCTGTTTTGAGAACTTAGCCACAGGATTATACCTGTGGGAAGGGGAAAAGGGGAGCACAGACTTTGGTGAAGAGCTGGCTGTTCATGGCAAAGACTAAGTAGTTTGATCCTCTTTTTCTTTCCAGCTATGAAATGAAGGGCAAATCAGATACATCCAGCAACCATGCTGTGCTGAAGCTAGCCAAAGGGGATGAAGTTTGGCTGCGAATGGGCAATGGCGCTCTCCATGGGGACCACCAACGCTTCTCCACCTTTGCAGGATTCCTGCTCTTTGAAACTAAGTAAATATATGACTAGAATAGCTTCACTTTGGGGAAGACTTGTAGCTGAGCTGATATTGTTATGATCTGATGAACATTCAAGTTAGAGTTTTACATGCTGTATTCAAAAAGTTATTGGTTGCAATGCTATTCATGCTACAGGTACACGAATAATGTTGGACAACTCAGGGGCTCAGAAGAATCAACCACAAAGTAGTCTTCTCAGATGACCTTGACTAATACACTCAGCATCTTTATCACTCTTTCCTTGGCACCTAAAAGAGGATTCTCCTCTGAAGCAGGTTGGAAATATTTTTTTTTCTATCAGAGAAGTCATTTGCAAAGAATTTTGGCTGCTCTGCTTTTAATTTAATACCAATTTTCAGGAACCCGTGAAGCTTTAAGTTCATCATTCTTTATAACGTTTGAGAGAATAAGATGCAGTGATATGACAGGGCTGGGGCAAGAACAGGGACACTAGCTGCCTTATTAGCTAATTTAGTGCCCTCTGTGTTCAGCTTAGCCTTTGATCCTTTCCTTTTGATCCACAAATATGTTAAAACTCTGAATTCACATACAATACTATTTTAAAGTCAATAGATTTTAGCTGCAATGTGCTTGACCAGTAATGTTTTTGTAATTTTGTCTATGTTCCCCCACATCGCCCCCAACTTCGGATGTGGGGTCAGGAGGTTGAGGTTTGCTATTAACAAATGTCATAAATATTTCATAGAGATACAGTACCAATAGATACTCAAATGTTGCATGTTGACCAGAGGGATTTTATATCTGAAGAACACACACTACTAATAAATACCTTAGAGAAAAATTTTGACTTGGCTTTAGATAAAACTATGGCAAGAAAAATGTAATGAGCAATATATGGAAATAAACACACCTTTGTTAAAGATACTTTCTAAACTTGTTTTTAATAAAGTTTAATAGTCATACAATTGTAAATCACTATGGTTAACACAAAGTGAAAATATTTTCATGCAGGTGACGTGAACAGCCATACGAATAGATGACTTGGGCACAGAGCAGGGTCACATGACTCCAGAAAACTTCATTTTCAGTTATTCCATTGTTATAATTTCAACGCTTTAAGACATTGAGGTTTAGAGGGCTCACTAATAAAATCTGAATTTCTCTGAGGAAAGAGGTTTTTTATCACATACCTGAAGTCTTTGTAATGTTCATGCTTAAATTCTAAGTTTTCACCTTAGCAACACACAAGGTTTGGTTGTAGGCAACAAGTCCCAGGTGTGTGGGAAATTGATTTACAACAGAGATGGGAAAAGGTGCAGACAATTTCCAATGCCTTCACAATTTACCTATGACCAGAATTATACCTGGAAGATTAATTTCACAAGTGTCTCAAAACTGAGATGCTAAAAAGGAAACAGTAGGTAGGTGTCTGCAAATTCTAAATCTTTTTTATTTTTTTATTTTTTTATTTTTTTGAGACAGAGTTTCACTCTGCTGCCCAGACTGGAGTGCAGTGGCATGATTTCAGCTCACCGCAACCTCCGTCTCCTGGGTTCAAGTGACTCTCCTACCTCAGCCTCCTGAGTAGCTGGGACTACAGGCACCCGCCACCAGGACTAGCTAATTTTTTATATTTTTAATAGAGACGGGGTTTCACCATGTTGGCCAGGCTGGTCTGCAACTCCTGACCTCAGGTGATCTGCCTGCCTCGGTTTTCCAAAGTGCTGGGATTACAGGCGTGAGCCACCGCGCCTGGTGGCAAATTCTAAATCTTAAAGCAACTCTGCAAACAAAGCACATGAGTTTCTGCTTGCTTCAGGGATGTATACGGTATAGAACTGTTTCACATAATGATCAGCTTTGATAATTTTCCAGGGTAGAAAACATTATATTTGACCCTTGGACAACAAAGAGATTATACTGAAGGAATTTTATTGAATGTATCATGAATAAAAGCTGAAGTCAAAATGTAAAAAAAATAATTCAGAGGATGGAATATGCAAATGTAAACTCTAAACGATGTGGCTGGAATTAATAAACATTTACTTTATGAAAGATACTGTGCTATTCCAGGCACTCCTATGGCATTTAAAATACAATTCTTACCTTCTCTAATTTTTCAACCTAGTAGAGGACAATAGGCTAAAGGCAATAAGCACATGGATAACATAACATAAACTAGAATGCTTTTACATCCATAGAAGGCAAAGGACTAGGAATCCACAGGAGAGAGAGAAACAGTAACTAGCTGAGAGCATAAGAAAAGCTTGTAGAAAAGATAATATTTGACGGCCAGAGACAATTTCTTGCTTTGGTATGTTTGAAGTGTTATATTTATATATTTATATATTTATATATATATATATACACACACACACACACACACACATATATATAATATTTTGATAAGAAAAGCTTGTAGAAAAGATAATATTTGATGGCCAGAGACAATTTCTTGCTTTGGTATGTTTGAAGTGTTATATTTAAATATATATATAATATTTTGACTACAAAAAAATACTCACTATAGAAAATTTGTAAAATTCCCCAAAATATTTAGTATAAAATCAATCACCCCATCAAATATTAAATAATATTAATATTTTAAAGTGTTTATTTCAGTCTTTTCCTACATGTATTTATGGCCTTTATTTTTCAACATAGTAATAAGACAAACCATTTGAAATTAGCTTTTTATATATTTTTGTATCTTGTTCTAATGGTTTGGACTAACACATTAAGAACACTCTCAAATGCTACCAGGGACAATTTGAAAACATATTTTTAATGGCTACATAATTTATTTAACTTTCCTGTTTGGGAAAATATTTTTGCTTTTCTAGTATTTTTTTCTATTACAAATAATATGTCATGAGCATTCACTTTTTTAAAAAAGTAAACTATGTGTGCTTTATCATTATTTCCTTTGATTAATTTTCTAGAAGTGGGATTATTTGATCAAAAAGCCTAGATATTTTTAAAAGCTGTTAGTAATGTCAAATTAAAAAAAAAAAAACAGCTTAAACTTATGTAAGGAGGGACTTTATTCAATAGGATTATTGCCATAAGGGGAAGGTGACTACGACAATAGGGAGAAGGCTTTGAGATCTATGAGATCTGTAGCTCAGAGATCAGACACAAATAGGCTTTCCTTTATGGAGAGAAGTAAATAAGAACTGGGTGCAGGAGATGGGATGAGTGACAGATATGATGGGACATTGACCAGGGAACACTTTTTCCTGAGTTCAGCCAGTTCCCTGGAGGAGGGGCTGTTGACTTTAACATGGTTCCATGTTCCATTGCCCAAAGTGGGCCAAAGTTTAGGTGCCTGGGCAAAGGGGAAAAGCTTTACTAAACTTTGGTCAAGTTAAGTTACTTTGCATTTTGCCCAGATTGAACAGTTCAACAAACACTTCAGTTAACATTTATAAGACAAAAAAAAGTGGGAATTTAGAGGGTCTGTGCCTGGTCATGTCCTACGTAAACAAGAAAGTTTTAAGTCATAAGAGCAAGCATGATTCCTTGCAGCAAGCCATTTCCCAGAACAAAAGGGAAGGAGGATTTTTAAAGTGCCTTTCCAAGAACACAGGGCTCAGGTAAGGTTCAACATTGCCAGTAAATATTGTCAAATTGTCCTCCAAGAAATCTGCACTCCTACTAGCAATATTTGAGAATGCCAGAAATGCTGCAGATAGGTAAGATTGTGATTCATGAGGATGGGCGACAAAGTGTTCTATGCAATGAAAAATAGTTTGGTAAAAAGGAGGCAAGGAAACTGCAAGCTCTTTGTATGCAACAGCGTAGTGTGCAGTCAGCCTGGAATGAATTGCTGATGCAGTGTACATCAGCAATACATTAAAGCAGGTACAGCTAGAAAGGGAGACAGAAGAAATGCCATAGGCTTTCAATGCCAAGGTGTGATCTGTACTTAAATTAGCAGCTAAAGAATCACTGTTAAACTGTGATCAATGTTTTGAGGTAACCAGGTCAAAGTTTTAGGAAAATCAATCTACTGAAAATGGGAGGCTTTGAGGTGCTCACATTTTCTTTTTTTCTTTCAAAGACAAGCATTGATTATGTCAACCTTACAAAAAAAGACACTAGAAAAAAAATTAAATATGTTGGGTTTACTTGGTAATAGAAATAAGTATTATAATCTGAATGCATGGAATGGCAAACCACGAGTACCTTTGGTGAGGGAAGGGCAAGGGGAACTTTTGTTAGCAAAAAAAGGTTTACATAAGGTGCTTAGAAATAGAGTTCATTGGTTCTAGAAGCTGAAAGCCAGAGTTGTTAGCAGTTTATTGATGGAGACGCTGTTAGTGGGCAAGTGTTCCTGAGAATATCTTATCTGAATTATTGCAGTCCAGGAGAATGTCTAGTCATAAACCAAAGGGTTTTTAGAAAGTTCTTGGAAACAGTTCTTCTTATGCCAGACATATAAGCATGAGCATCCTCTTTTTTGGGCTTTACCAGCTCTATTTTGTCTGAGTCTGATGAAAGTGATTTCATCGTGGTGTCTGCAACTTTCACAGCTAGCTAATGCTGACCATACATCCCACCCTCTCCCCACCACCCCCGCACCATGTCTTCTCCAAATGTTTGTTGGACAGTGCAAGGTAAGGAGGCACAACCCGTGTTTGGATGGTAAGTGTTAATCCGGTGGAATGGACATAGCAACACCATGCTTTGCAGAATGCCTTAAAACTACTGTCTACCCTTATCTCCCCTGCAGCAACCCCACAAAACACACCCACTGTCACTCATCTTGACTCTTTAGCTTCACAGCAATATTGTGGAATAAGAAAGAAGTCTCTCCCCTCTTGGCGTAAATGAGTTACTTTGGGCAAGTTACTCAATGTCTGTGCCTGAGTTTTCCCATTTGTAAACTTGGGTTGTCTACTAGCATGTACCTCAAAGAATTGTTAAGAGAATTAGTTACTGCATATTTTAATTATTTATGGATACACACTGACCACAAACTAACAGCTTAAAATAGCACACATTCATTATTTTATGGTTTGTGTGGGCCAAGAGTCCAGCCATGGCTCAGCCAGACTCTTTGCTTCAGAAGCTCTCACAGGGCTACCGTCATAGACAAGGGCTGGGTCATCTGAAAGCTCAACTAGAGAAGGCTCTGCTTCCATGCTCACTAAGGTTGCTGGCAAAACTCCATTTGTTGAGGGTGTTGGGCTGAGGGCCTCAGTTCTTTGCTAACTGTTGTCTGGAAGCCACTCTCAGCTCATTATGATACGGGCTTGTCCAATGAACTGCTAACTTCATCAAAGCTGGAAACTGAGAATACAATGCAGAAAGTCTGCTAGTAAGATAAAAGCCACAACAGCTTAGAACTTAATCATGGAAGTGACATCCCTTCACCTTGTGGTATTCTATTAGCTGGAAGCAAGTCACCAGGCCAGCTCAAAGTCAAAGGGAGGGAGTTTCACAAGGGCATGAATTCCAGGAGGAGGGGATCAACTGGGCCATCTTAGAGTCAACCTTAGATTGACCTCCAGCCCCTAACAACCCAAATACTTCCCACATGCAAAATACAGTCATTTTCTTGCAAGGTCCTCAGAGATCTCATATCATCATCATAGCATCATCTCAAAGTCTAGAATTTCATCCTCTGCATCATGTCCAGATATGGACAAGGCTTTTTGGAAGTAATTCTTCAGTCCAGCTCCTTGAGTACAGTTCCTTTTGATCTGCTAACCTGTGAAACCAAAAAGAAAAGTTATTGGCCCCCCCACATCTAATAAAATAGTAGGACAGGAAAATACATATAACAGGTATAAAAGTTTCTATTCACAAAAGAAGGGAATGAGAGTGACAAAGACCAAAGATTCATAGCAATTCTTAAACCCAGTTAGTCAGAAATTATAAGTTCCTTCATTAGCTTTCAAGGCCTATAACACTTCAGCATGTATCTCAGAGAGATTAGTTTAAAAAAACAACCATAAAAAGAAAACATGGGCAGGGCGAGGTGACTCATGCCTGTCATCCCAGCACTTTGGGAGGCTAAGGTAGGTGGATCGCTTGAGTCTTGGAATTTGAGACTGGCTAACTCTATTTAAAAAAAAAAAAAGAAAAGATATGATAACCACAAAAGGAAAAATGATAATCTCAAAAGGAAAAAAAAATCTTAATATTATCAAGTATCCAG